TGCGTGTGTGTTTTTTTGTTTTTGTTCTTTTTCCCGTCGGCCTTGTCCATTGAACTTAAAATATATATATCATATTTATCCTTCCTACCGTGACCGTGGGCGGACGGAGACGAACACATTTGGGCGTAAACGCAGCTGCGGCGTGTCTGTTATTGCGGCACGCAAATGCGCTCGAGCCTGCCACGTTTCTTTCCCGCTCACGCGCTCTCGCCCTCCCTCCGCCCCCCTCGTGCCTCTGCTTGTGCGGCCGCTGCCGGCCTCTTGCCTACCACGCCCACGAAGAAATATATCCATCTGCCGACATATATATATATATTTTTTCCCTCCCCCCTTTCAAACGCAAACATTACTCCTCCTCTGCACGTATAGCGGCATTTTCTTCTGGATGGGGCACGCCACTTGCACAACGTCTCCGCAGTGCTGAGAGGCGCCACCTGCACGTTGGCGCGTGCGGCTGCTGCATTTCTCCCCGGGCCTTCCGAACGCAGCGCCACTCCCCCCCCCAAAAAAAAAAAAACAACAACAAAAAAAACAAGGCCCGTCTGCCGGCGACAACGGCGACCAACAACAGTTTATGCTCCAAAAATCCCGGTTGGGGCGCAGGCTTGCCTGCACTTCAAGCGACTGGGCGCTGGCATCCGCAGGGGAAGGCGGCTTCATCGGCGATTGTATGGAACGCTCAGCTTCCCACCAGTAAATATATATACGTGCGTGTGTGCGTGTGTGTGCCTGACGCTCACGGGATACGCGGTGCACCTCTGCCAGTGGACTGTATGCATCTGTGCCTCTGCGGGCCGGTGGCGCCCCGACGTTTCCCACCAGCGCATGGCACATACACACGCACACACACAAAATAATTATAAACAAAAAAAGTACTTTTTACACGCTGCACGACACCTTTCTTCACCTCCTTCGCGCTTTGCTTTATGCACCTCTCCTACGCAGGGCGGGCGGCTGTGGAACCAAACAAACCGAGGAAAAGACAGCTGCATAAAGTTGGCATAGCAAGACAAGGAAGGAAAGGAAGGAAGACACGCATACACGCAAAAAAACAAAAAATAAGAATAAGGATAAAGGAGTATATATATATATATATACATCTCCCTTCCTCAGTCGCACGCAGGATTCATTACTGTTATTATCATTGTCTATAGCTTTTCCTGCATTCGCCTGTGCGTGAGTGTGTGTGAACTGCAAGGTTACTGGCTGCACCGTGACGGTTCCGTAGGGAGGGTACATCAGGCTGTACATTTGCTTCCCCCCCCCCAGTTACAGCCTGCGTGGGTGCCATTAATTTTCGCCTCGCGTACACCTTGGCTGTCGTTGCACCGTCGACAGCCATGAGTTCCATGCCGTCGCATGTGTGCATCGTTGTCCGCACGAGGCCCACGGACTTCCTCGCGGACAACCTCACCATCCTGCCAGGGGGGACGCTGTACATCACGCGACGGGCAGCTGCAGGAGGCGTGGGGGAGACCGCGACCGCGTCCCAGGCACCGGATAAGTTGTCGTTCGCCTTTGACGCGGTGCTGCACAACGCCTCGCAGGAGGCCGTGTTCGAGGCGACCACCTCCGACCTTGTGGACTCGGCGCTGCAGGGCTTCAACTGCACGCTGCTCTGCTACGGCCAGAGCGGCTCCGGCAAGACCTACACGCTGTTCGGTGGCAACACCTACCCCACGCGGGGCTGTGTCCCGCGCGCGGTGCAGGCCATGTTTGAGACCGTCGCGTCCTCCGCGGACCACGAGTTTAAGCTGAGCCTCTCCTTCGTGGAGGTGCACGGGGACCAGCTCTTCGACCTGCTGGGAAAAGGGCCGCTCCCGTCCCCGCGGGCCGGCGGCAAGCCGAAGGCCGCCAGCAAAGTCGCCGTGACGCTCACCGCCGACGGCGAGGTGGCGCTGCGCGGGGTGGAGGTGCGGCAATGCGCCAACGAGGCTGAGGCACTGGCGGCCGTCTTTGAGGGCATGCAGCGGCGCACGAGCAGCGCGAACGCGGCCAACCCGCAGAGCTCGCACTCGCACGCGGTGCTGACGTTTTACATGGTGAGCAAGAGCCTCGTGGACAGCGACGCCCTCGTCCACCACTCGCGGTTGAACTTTGTGGATTTGGCCGGCACGGGGCGACCCAACGCGGTGACGGACGAGGGTGCGAGGCGAGAGGCAAAGCTCGTTAACCGCTCCCTGATGATGTTTGAGCAGGTCATTCTCGCCCTCTCGGGCCCCCACTCGCGCCACGTGCCGTACCGCCAAAGCAAACTCACCATGTTGCTGAAGGGCTCCATCGGGGGCACCAGCCGGACGACGCTCATTGCCAACATATGGCCCGAGGAGCGCCACACCGAGTCCACCGTGGCAACGTTAAACTTTGCCAAGCGCCTGGTGCGGATTGAGTCCAACCCCGCCGTGCACGCCTCCATGGACCCGGAGGCGCACGTCAAGATGCTCCAGAAGCAGGTGGTCAGCCTAAAGTCCGAGTTACGCATGCAAGATCAACTGGCCGGGCGGGAGGCGTTCTCTACCGCGCCCCTGGACGGCGACGAAATGCAGGCCGCGCGGGAGCGTGTCATGGAGTTTCTGGACGGAACCTCCCCGCAGGTGCAAGTGAGCTCTGTGCGGGAAATGCATGCCTGCTTTCTGGCCTTCAAGACCATCCTCGGCGAGCGCGAGGCACAACTGAGGGAGTCGGGGCAGCAGCAGACGACACCGCCACGCCCGTGTAGTACGGCGAGCAATAGGAGCATCACGAGGCCAAAACTGAGCTCAAGGCGGCAGGGCTCGAACGATGCAAAGGAGCCGACCAAGTTTGTGGCTAGCGTCGAGGATGCCGCGGCTGGAGTGGGCATGGGCACGACAACTCGACCAAGCGCCGTGATTCGGGACATTTTTTTCCATCGGCAGCGCAGCCCCTCCAGTATGCTTCCAGCGACGCAGGCTGCAGGGAAGGAGCGGGGCGTCGACGCACATGCCCCTGCTGCAGCCGTCACAGCCCCGCCCACGCCCGTCCCCACGCCCATCCTCGCAACAACAACAGCGACGGCATCGGCATCGGCATCGGCATCGGCGGCAGTCATGGCCCCCACGGCCCGGCGCAGCTCTACATCCATGGACGCGGCATTTGCCGTGCGCCCCAGTGTGTCCCCCAGCTCCCGTGTCCAGATGGCAGCGTTGCTGCCCACGGATGGAGAGCCGTTGAAGACGCAGCCCTGCACACAACGCCCCTCCACGAGTCCCCTGACGGAGAGACAAGACGCGGGCCTCCCGCCGCTTGAGGGCCATACCGCCACAACGGGCGTGCCACTTCCGAAGTTCTTGGGGCGGCAGCACAACGTGATCCGTGACAGACGCACGGCGTTTGAGGCGTACAAGCGGACAGGCGCCGGCACCTGCCAGTTGGGGACCATAGACGAAGCCCGAAACCTTTTGGCAGATAAGAATGAGACGATAATGCAGCTCCAAAAACGATTGAATGAGCTTCAGGAGAATATGGAGGCAAGCAAGAAAAGTGAGCAGCTTTCTACCACCGCGGTGGAAGAGCGGGTGATGGCGCGGTGGGCGCCCACAGAGGCGAGACGCATGTCCCCCGTCTTGTTGGACGGCAGTCGCAGCGGCCATGAGAACAATGTGAGCTCCGCTGGCACGCCTTCCGCGACGGACGAAGAAAAACTGTCCCACATGACGTTAGAGGAAAGGAAGGCCCTTTTCAACGTCACGAGCAACGCACTGAAGCGGGCAACGATTGAGCGTGCGCATCTTGCGAAGCAGCTCAACCGCCACTGTGAGGCTTTCATGAACAACTTCCAGTACTGGCACCAGTCCCAGCTCCAGGCAATGCTGCCGGCGCAGGTGGAAAAGACGCCGGCGGTGGTGGCGCTAGTGCCTGCAGCGACGGTGGGGGCTGCGGCGACGGTGGGGGCTGCGGCGACGGATGCGGACGCCCGACGCTCGCCGAGGACCGTCAACCCGCCAGCCACAAGCGCCTCGTGCGCCGCACTTGTGGAGGGTGACCCGCGGGCCGTGGACGCCGCTGAGCGCTCCGAGGCGCAGGAGGCGCAGCTCCCGGAGAGCGCGGCCTTCTACGCGGCACAGAGGCTCGTGCGGAGGGGGATGCGGCCGCTTGAGTGAACACGGCCCCCTCCCCCTTCTCCTTCTCCTTCCTTTCTCCACGCAGGCGCGAGGAAAACCAAAGAGTAGGACGACGGCGAAGGAATGTGTCTTTGCGGGAGAGAGAGAGAGGCAAGAAACAAGTCAATGAGAATGTTTTAGAGGGAACAAAACAACAACAATATATATATATATATATATAACAACGCCCAGAC